TGCTATAACTGTGTACAACACTGTATATGTATTTGTATATGGTAAATATTTTGTGTTTTTGATAAGGAGCCACAAAAACAAGTTCGTTTCATTCGTGCAGAAATTAATTTCCAATATAACATTGATGTTGTCGGAAGTGGAAAATGTAATCAATAAATGTTATCATCATTCACCAATATGGAATACCAACAATATTAGATTATACGTAAGCATAGGTCTATTTGCAAAATCGGATGTTATTGTAAATATTTTTTTTTTAATATAGAAATTTCAATAAATCAAACACGACACACAAAGGAAGGTTGGGGAATGACATTGCTCTTGGCTAGTATCGCAACTAACTTTATACATTTTATCACACATATAATGTAAACGTAGCATAAAAACTGCATAAATGCAACTGTGCGGATATAGTCATACACTGTGCGACACGAACATTTTTCAGGGGTTCTAATGTACCAATTCTGTTTAGTTGGAGTCCCTGGACCACGAAAATACCTTTGATTTTTCTGGGTCACTTCGAAAATTAATTTTATAACGGTAAATATAGAGAAAAACGTGGTTTCATGGATTTTCCATTTGAAACTTGAATAACTTATTTACTTTATAACGGATATATATTATTCTTTTTTTATTTCGAATAGTACAATTTTTCCTTTCAAACAAGATATATATTTGGTAAATCGGTTGAGGATTGGCTGAGTTACAGCGGTTGAAATGTGAAAAAATACGCATAAAATGACAAAATTTATTTTTCTTCGGACTGTACGATGAAATTATGATATCAAGCCATATAAATTTTATTATATTACGGGGAAGAAAATTAAATTAGCTTTCGAAAATGATAAAAATCAAAAAAAACGGTTAAAAAATGGATGACTTATACGCATTTTTGTATTGATTCTATGCATATTCTCTAAAGGAAATATGGTTCTATCTCGTCTCCTTTTGCCTGTTGCAAACATAACGGTTTGTAACAGGAAACGATACAGACCCATATTTCCTTTAGAGAATATGCATAGATTCAATACAAAAATGTGTATAAGTCATCCATTTTTTAACCGATTTTTTTGATTTTTATCATTTTCGAAAGCTAACTTAATTTTCTTCCCCGTAATATAATAAAACTTATATGGCTTAATATCATAATTTCATCGTACAGTCCGAAGAAAAATAAATTTTGTCATTTTATGCGTATTTTTTCACATTTCAACCGCTGTAACTCAGCCAATACTCAACCGATGTACCAAATATATATCTTGTTTGAAAGGAAAAATTGTACTCTTCGAAAGAAAAAAAGAATAATATAAATCCGTTATAAAGCAAATAAGTTATTCAAGTTTCAAATGGAAAATCCATGAAACCACGTTTTTCTCTATATTTACCGTTATAAAATTAATTTTCGAAGTGACCCAGAAAAACCAAAGGTATTTTCGTGATCCAGGGACTCCAACTAAACAGAATTGGTACATTAGAACCCCTGAAAAAATTTTTTTTGTTATTTTGTAGCACAGTGTACAAAACAAAGAAGATACGTGACTTGCCACGTGACTTCGAATCATAGAACATATGGTTGGTTATCCTGGAAAGTTATTGTGAAATTTTAATGATAAAGTTGATGACGATAGTGGTGGTTGTCATTGACTACTACTGGCCAAGTGAAAGACTTGCGCACTAGACACTAGCATTCTCTTTGTTTCCACAATACATGAAGAAAAAATGTGAACAGCAATTTTTATTCCATGCAAATATTTTTTTTTTAACAAATAAGCTCCATGACAAACCCAACGACTGACATTTAGAGGTACAGTAATAATGATGGTTCTTTATCATTTTTAATGGGTTTCTGTGTGTGTGTGAATGTGTGTTTCAATATTTTTCCTAGTTGCATTTTTAATTACCTCAACTTAATCCTTGAAATGCTCTATATTATAGTTTTTGTCTCTTCTACGGTTTTGTCTTTGAAATAATTTACAGTTTTTTGTTCCAATTATAGGAACCGTTATAATAAAATAAAATTAATATTAAACTTTGAACACACATATTTCTTGACAAGTCCATGGTCATCACGGTAACACGTTTTATTCCCGATTTGAAAACGACATATATATAGCCACAATCTCGAACAGAAAACTCCGAAATTTCCCGACTATTACGAAACACTTTTTCTTTCCTTTTTTCTCTATTGACGTTTCAAAGAACTGAACCAAAAAATGTCCACAAACACACACACTTTAAATTATATAAGACAAATGAAAATGTCTTTTAATAAATTTGAAATAAAATTTTTGCCAGAACACAAAAAGACAAAAAATATTTATAAAGAGTTTTTTGTAGATATTCGAATAGCAGAATTTTCATCCGTTGTTAGTCCTTTTATGTTCTCTTGCGGCCGAGCTTTAACACTTCAATGTAAAGAGACTTCAAAAATTAGACTTAGTTTGGACAAAAAAGACAACACGTCCGCCAGACAACGGCGTCGGTCGTCGGTGGTTGAAAGAAAACTAGTAGGAAATTTCGATGGATATTCTCTTCGTAATAATAATAATGGGGGTTGGTTGTATTTATTTCACTGTGTTCCAGAAAGGAAACCCAGAGAATTAAGGAGAGTGAGATAGTATATACAAAACGGTACTAGATGTCGCCTTTTGATATCAAAATGTGTTCCAATTTTTTATGGGGGAATCAAAAAATATGCTTTAGATGTCGCACCTGAGTAGGATATGTGTATTGTATATTGCAAAATGTACCATGTAATTGAACTCTTGAATTACCTGAAATTGTTTACGAAATCTACTAGATATAAAAATATATACATATACTTCGTAGCATATAAAAATCAACCGAATTTATGAAATGGACTTAAACGGCATATACATTAGGACTTTTTACCGTGGATTTATGAGGATTTATTTGACATATATGCAAAGGAATTGACAATTGAAACCCATTGGGTTAACGAAATCCGGTTAAATGTAAACGTACTATAATGTTGGAATTGCTAGATTAAATCAAGTATATTTCGTGGTCTACGTATATTCAAATTAATTTTTTTCCACCGTATCATGGCTAAGTCTGCCCGTATTTATAAATTACTTTTAATTTCTTCTTCAAAAAATAACGCCAGCCAGTGTTGTAAAAGCAAAACGGTACGTTTTTCCATATGGCGTGTTTCATAGCACACAGCTTTTGCATGCCTCACACATACACATCTAGAAATAAATCAGCTGTTGAAAATGTCAGCGTTTTTCGTGGCAAGAGGAGGAGAATTGTGAATTACTTTGCTGCTGCATTATTTAAACAATTTTGTATTTGTTTTCTCGGCTTTATTTGGGAATTCCCCCTGAAATCTGGGCACTTTTAATAGAAGGAAGATTAATATACGAGAAATAATAAGAGATCTTTTGTATGTAAGTCAATCAACCTGACAATCATCATCGTAAGACATAGCCCTCTTTTTGAGGTGCATTGCAATGTGAAAGTTGTAATTGGCATATATATTTTGTTCAATTTTTGTTTTTGGGGAAAGTGGAATGTTCGAATGTCTCACACAGCAGTATTACTTATATGCACAACTAACTACTATATATCTAACCATTCAAAATATATGCATTTTTTTTGTATTTATTTTTATTAGTTAAAGTGACTTGTAAAGGAGACGAAAGAAAGATTGTTTGGAGGCTCTGCGGCTGCAGTTAATTAATTGTGAGTATAAATGTATTTGTTCAATTAAAATAACATAAACATGAATCAACAAGTTTTCTACTATTGTTATTGTATATTGTGTGGCAGCTTGGTGTATCTTTGGAAGTGATCAATGATCGCATTCGGGTTGCTTGTGTTTTCTTATTGGGAAAAAGGCAGGCAGACAGACAGATATACTAGTAGAGAAGTCCCATTGAGACAAAAGACTTCATTGTGTTATCGATAACAGTTTATTCAGAACTGCTGCTCAGGCATTCCAAGTATTAGAATTTTTTACTTTTGTTGTTAATTTTATTAATTTTAAAGGTTCGCAGTTTTGAAACTGTGGGACGGAATAGCTATTACAAATAAATATGCAGTACCTCTGAAAATATAGAAGTTTATGGAAAGGGTGTGGCTAACAAATTGAAATATTATGAACAATTTCGCCATAAAAGTATAGTGCAAAAGCCATACCTTTTAAGGGATTTAATGTTTATTGAAAAAAGATATAATTTGTTATTTACATAGGGTACCATGTACAAATCGTATATATTAGGTTATAAAGCGTTACAAAAAATATTTAAATAACTAACTTATAATTGGTTAATTTAATTATAATATAAATATTTACCATTCTTTGAAAGCTTAAAACTGGGTTCAATGACATCTAGCATCACTTTTGTTTAACAAAATGGTTGTATAGACGTCATCAAACCTTGATTAGAGATCTTTGAACAACATTTATTTCGTCATCTTTAAAAACAGACGTCATCAAATGTTCAGCACAGAATTTCTGCCAAAATATACATTTTCCAACTATTTAGTTTTTTAAGAAATCCCTAAGACTTGTTTCATTATTCCTGCAATGACACAATTTGTAGCATTATTAGTTGGCTGTAGTATTGATACATAGTTTTATTGTTTAATAAAAATTGTGTTGATTTTGTTGAAGAAATTGTTATGTTGACCAGTTCGTATTAAAGTCCATGCCAAACTATTTTTTTATTTGTGTTAAAACTAACAATTTTTATTAATTCAACCACTTTTAAACTCTGATTTATGTTTTTTTCTATTCGCTCTTCTGATTTTTTTTTTTTTTTTTTAAATTAAACACGCACAGTCTGTCTTCCCATTAAATATGATTGCAATAACATTACATGCTATATGAAGCTATTGCTGTTAATATATTTATTTTATGTTTAAAACAAAAAATCTAAACAACACCTAATGCTTCCAATGTCTATCATCTCTATGTGTTTTCTTTTTTTATTTTGTTTTTCTTTCATGTATGTTTTCCCCATTCCTGCGTTTAGTGCCATGTCTAACGCCACCACCCCCACTGCAAAGCAACAAGAATTGAAGCATATCGCTTCGATTGTTCGTGCTTTGATCACATCGACTAAGCCACCGTGTTATCTAAAAGATATTTTACGCGAATATAATGAAGTAGAGAGCAAACAGCTGCCATACAAAAGTCTTGGCTATAAAACAGCCCAAGAGCTTTTAGAAGATACTGGAGAATTTTTGTTCAATGGCAATCGAGGCAGCGGAGACGTAAGTATATTTGGGAAGAATAACAACATAATCTTAAAAAAATACACTCACTCACACACTACTCTGAACTATTAAGAGGCACACGCACATCACATATGCACCCACACGGAATGTTGAGACTGCATTCCTTCCATTCACCCCCTTCATTGATGTGCTGAAATTCAAAAGGAAATAACGAAAGACGACTTTCCGACATAAGATTTTCTTTTTTTTATCTCATATTCATTGCAATTGTTTATGCTTGGTTTTTCATCTTTCACTTCTATTTCTTCGTGCTAAAAATAGAATGCGCTATTAATATATAGATATGTATGTAGGTATTTATCTATCTATACAACATGCATACTTTTTCAATTCAATGTTATTTGTTTATTTTCTTCTTCTTTGTGAGGGGGAGGAACTGAGAGATAGAGAGAGGGGGTGATGTTCGTTGATGTCTGAGGAAAACAAAGTGATTGTGTGTAGTGTGGTTTCCTTTTCAGTTATGATCAATCTTTCGTTACAAACGAAACTGTGCCTGTCTGATTGTTGTTTCTTCCCTTCCTTTGTATGTTTTGCAGACGATAATCACAGCCAAATTCAATTCGAAAACTGCTCACATTGCTTCTATGGTCAGAGCTCAAAAGCCAAGCAAATCGACACGCATTGCACCGGTAAAGGCTATGAAACAACCCCCACGAATGCCTGCTCATAGATCGAACGGATTTACAGCTGCTGGCGGTGATCGCAACAATAACAGCAACAACAATTACAACAATCGAAACAGCAGCAGTAGCAATCAATCGCATCAGCAATTGCAGAGGCAAAAATCACAGGGTGCCAGTAATAACAGTAACAGCAACAACAGCAGTCAGCCAATGGATTTACGTGACATGCTGAATTCCAAGAAAAATATACGGATTCAAACACAACAGTCATCTAGCAACGAACAAAACAAATCGCAACAAAAGAATTCACAAAATGATAAGCAATCGCCACAAGGTGCAACTGGTGGTCCCAGACCCATTTTGGGTGCCTCAAAGCCATCGGGTCAAACGGAAAATAAAAAGAATTTGTCCTCTTCCTCCTCTTCGTCGTCGTCCACAAATAATCCGGCACAGTCTCAAAAACCAACTGGCGGCAAACCACAGACCACCGCCCCTGGGCAACAGGTCGGTCAAAAACCACAACAGCGACTAAATGTTGTTAATCAAAATATTCAGCAACAGCAACCTCAAGTCCAAGCTGCGGCACCAAAGCCACAAAAACCTCCAACACAGCAGCCAAACACACCAATTTACATGCCAACGAATAATTTGGCTGCCAGGCTACAGCAGCAACAACAACAGCAAGCTTTAATCCATCAACAACATCAGCAGCAGCAACAGTTTAAAGCACACGCACCAGTTCCACAAGTTCTTAATCAAGGAGATGCTGCAATGGCCAAACCAGCTGCAATGGGTGGTGGATTGCAACATCGTCTAAAAGTGTTCAATCCACAAGCCACGTCATTTTCAAATCAGGTAAATGTTTCGTTTTCGCATTCAAATAATAATCGATATTAACTGATTGTCCTCAACCCCTTCATATTTAGCACAAACAACCTCCATTTGCAACTCAAAAGGTTGATGCAATCACTGCTCTGGTACAATTTTGCCGTTCGAAGAATCTTCCCGCTCCACGTTTCAATTGCATAAAAGGGAAGTTTTCACGTGGTACATTTACATGTCGTGTGGAGGTTAAGGACACCATATACTCCACATATCCGCACGAATATGAGACTGAATATTTGGCCAAGGAGGCCTGTGCAATACGGGCCTTGGAAAAATTGAAAATGCAAGAGAAGAAACGGCCCATGCCACCGTGCACGTTTTCCAGTACAGAATTGTTGGACAAGCTCTATACGGAGTTGTTGAATCATCCGCATGGTATATTTGCCAAAAACTTACCCGAATGGTTTGAAACTACTTTCCAACAATCATTGCCTGAAGATTGGTGGATGTTGATACAGACATCAAGTCTATTCACCACCGAGACTGGACTAAGCAAAGTGATTATATTTGCCAACAAAGATGCCGATAAAGGTATATGGTAGAGATGAAGTGTTCTTCTTTAAATTGTAATTTTTTAATTTGTTATTATTTCTTCTTAGATATTACTCCGCCGGGTGCTGAAGATAAAACTAAAGTCATTCAAATCGATCCCATATGTCTTCCATGGTCCGATGAATATTGGTCTATTTTTATAACACACTGCAACTCCACTGTGGAGGTATGGGGTCGTCTGTTTGGCCCAGATTACAGCGGACGTTACAGTGCTCTCATGAATGACATTGAAGTTTATATGGCCAATAAAAAGGAGAGACCCGTATCCATTACCCGCAAAAATATTTACTTAGTCAGCATTAATGATTCCTGGCATCGTATACGCGTCGAGGAACTTGACAAATCCAAGGCCAGTTGTCTGTGTTTCTTTATTGACTTTGGCGATGCCGATTGGCTGCCTGTGGATCAATTGTTTATTTGTGAAACCCACTTCTTGAAACTACCGGCGCAAGCTGTACCATTTTCTTTGTATGGCCTAGAAGATTTTGAAGGTAACCCGGCTGGCCGCAAATGTTTGGATGACTTGTTGCCCACAAAGTCTGTAGTGGGCAAAGTCTTTACAAAAGAATCCGAATTCTATGACACCAACTCTAAGTGCAATGGTAAAATACAAGTTGTACTCTTCGATACATCGACCCAAGAAGACATAAATCTCAACCATCAGCTATCCAATATGATTTGCAAGGAGACTTTGCCACCAGAGATCAAACAGAATACTGTAACAAATACATTTGTTTCGCACGTCAGTGACACTGGTGACATATTTGTGCAAGTTAAGAGTCCAGAGTTGAAATATGTTCAAGTAGGTTTTTCCCAAGTGTCTACATGGGTCCGTAACTAATAGTTTTTTAATTTTAGACGCTTTTGCAACAAATCATTGAAACTCGTTTCAATCGTGACCAACATAAAGTCACCTTCGACGATTTGAAACGTTCCAATATGTTTTTGATTTGTGACGATGATGATGCCAATGATGTTAAATGGTATCGTGGCTCCGTGGTAGATGTGAAAAATATTAAGGCCGATAGCAGCAATTATCTAATGTATTATGTGGATCAAGGTATAACAAAGTCCGTGGATATGTCAAAGATTTTCCTATTGGAGAGTTTAAGTTTGGCTTTGAGTAAATTCCCCGAACAGGCTGTAAAGGTGCGTTTGCATAATATACCAGAAATATCGAAAAATATCGTTGGACGTATACGTGGTCTTTTGCCAAAAGATTGTGAAGTATTGGTAGGTATAAATAACTTGGCTAACTAACAATGGGAAGCAATCAATTATTGTGTTTTTCGATTTTCAGACAAAAATGGTTATTCCTGGGCCAGTGCCTCAGGTGACAATACATACACGTTTAGAGGGTCCTGGTGTTTTGGTTACTATCAATGATGTTTTACGCAATGAACATGAATTAATGGGGTATGTTAGTGATCATTTTTTTCTGGGAAAGGATATTAATAATATGGTTTGTTTGTTGTTTTGTAGTGCTGATTTGTTGCCTGGCTCAAATTCTGCTGGCTCTGAGGATGATGGTTCTGTTACTAAATTCAATTTAGACTTTTCCAAAAGTAACCAAGACAACTCTAGTTCAACTAGCTTGGCCTCGCCAACCACACCCACAAGTAATTCATTTATTGATATTACCCGTGGTCTTACATTAACCACTGTGCCTGGATCCCCACAAAAAGTTAGCGATTTGCCCAAACTCAACGACTACACCAATATTCCGGCCATTGGTGAATTGTTTGATGTGCGTGTAACAATGTCAGCTAATCCATCAAATTTTATCGTAAGTTAATTTTTACACTTGTGGATGTTGGAAAGGATAAAGACTTTTTTGCTCTCTTCTAGATTCAACCCTACAAAGACTATCCAAATTTGAGAACTTTAATGAAGGAATTACAAACATTTTGTGAGAACAGTGATGAATTTATACCGACTGATATGGTTGAAATTGGCCAAGCCTATGCAGCCAAAAATGCTGATTCATTCTTTCATAGGTAAGTGGAAGAAGAATATTTTGCGGGCTATGTCTCTATGCAGTTGCAAATATCCCTCATATATTTGAAATTAATCAAAAAATAAATTTTATTTTAGAGTAACGGCTGTTAAAAAATATGGCGATATGATACATGTACGTTTTTGTGACTTTGGCGATTCAGCTACTGTAGATTCAAGTCAATTGAAAATATTACCCTTGAAGTTTCGTCAATTACCCAAAATGGCTATACAAGCCAAGCTTTATGGTAAGACTTATATATAAAAAGTGTATAGCCAGAAATTTAATCTCACTTCTTCTTCATTTTCATTAAATAGGTATTAAAGCTGTTAATGGTGACTGGACCCTGGACGATTGTCTGTTCTTCCGTAAACTGACAGTGGGACAGACATTTGTATCGGTCATAAAGAATATTAAATACGACAATGATACAATACCGGCCACACAAATATTGGAACTGGAACTAATTGATGTTTCCACCGACGAAGATGTTCTGGTACATGAACTTTTATTAAACGAAAAACGAGCAATTAAAGAAAATTAATTGAAAAAAATTCTTAAGACAGATGTGTATGCATGTATGTATGCAACGGACATACATAATAATGTAGAACGCTACGCGTTGATCGTGTAAGACTTATTTTTGGATTCAAAAGTAAAACAAACAAAAATCTTTCGTTATTTTATTGTAAACAAAATATTTAACTATTGAATAGTCGTCACACTATCACGTTTGGTGAAAAAGAACTTTCGTAATTTCATCACATTCCGAATGAACATTTAAACTAACAACAATACACTCACACACAGTAAAAACTATTTTATTTTATTTTTGTTTTGCTTCACTCACATTAATATAATTTCATTAAAAATCAATTAATATTGATATTTGTTTTGTTTTTTTATGATTATTTTTAATAATTTTATTTCTTTTTTATTTAAACTGAAGAATTCTATTACGATATTATTTAATTTAATTAAAAATTCATTATATTCTTTTATTTAAAACACCTAATGAAAAAAAATTTATAAAAAAACTCGACTTCATTTAAAAAATCAATCCATAAACAAAATCATTTTGTTTACTAACATAATCGCAATACATATATTTACATGTATTTACGTACGTATGAATGCTTAAGTTTCATTAAATGAGAATTATAGACATGAATAGTATATAATAACAATTAATAAAAAATAAAAACAAACGTACTTTAAAAACTGTGTGCAACAAAAAATAAAAATTATATAATAAAACAAATCAAAGAAATTAAATTAAATAAAATTATATAAATATATACAAAATCGAAACACAAAATTATGTTTTGTATTTTCAATCTAAACCAATGAGTTTACAATTTCAGTGGTTCCTTACACTCTTTAGCCGGATGCTGGGAAGTATCCTTGATGACCCATGTCATGTTTTCTCATAGGAAACAGTCACATAAACTTTGCCCCATATACATAATATATGTTAAATAAAACAATATTATTCATAATTTAAATATGTTTCAAATATAGATATATATATATTTTATTTCTTTTTTTCATTTTATTTAATATAGATTTATATATGTATGTATATAATAATATTTTGTTTTTGGTTTATCGCATTTTTCTTTTTTGTTTTGTTCTGCATGTTTCTGGGATTCTTTGTCTTTTGGTTTGGGTTTTTTTTACACAACTTACTACGTATTTATAATAATTAATAAGTTGTTGGTTTCTTTCTTTTTTGTTTTAGAAATGTTTCGGCTTAATGGAAATTTATTGTTTTAATTTTTGTTTTTTAAAAAAAAAATATACATTAATAAACAAAATTAAATACTAGAGTTAAGTTATTTTTCTTTTATAATATTTTTTATTTTGGTTTTATTATTATATATAAAAAACATTTTTATTTTAAATTAATTTATTTCCATTTGTATGTTATACAATATGCTCGCTTTGCATTCCATCTCGCTCTATGTTCCATAATTAATAATACCTTTCATAGTTTTCTCAGTTTTTGCTGTTCTTTTTTTTAACATTTGTTGTTTTTTTTTATTACAAATCAATAATTGTATTTTATTTGTTGTTGTTGCTGTTTTACACGTGCACCATATCTTCAGTTACAAATTACATTTATTAACATACATAAATCTTTATTTTAATATAGACCTTTTTTGTTGAGGGGGGAGGGGATTTTAAACTTACATCTTATCTCAGGGTTTTATTGTTGTTTGGTTTCTCCTTTTTTCTTTGAATATTTTCTTTTTCTCACTATTATTTTAGCAGTAAATCTAACAATCTCTTTATTTCTCTCTCGCAACATTCTACAATTATATAAAAAGAATTTTTACACATTTTAAATGTTGTTTTCTCAGTTGTCGTTTCAATTCTATGGACCGAGTAAATAATGTAAATGTTATATAACAAGGGGAAAAAACGATGATTAAAATGAAAATCAATGTTGTAGATTGATAGGTTTATAAATCTGCTATAGTTTTCTTTGATCACACAGGCAAAAATTATAAAAATCGGTTAAGTATTCGTTGAGTTATTTGCATTTCAATTCAATTCCACATTTTATAAAAACGTCAATTATATGGCAATTCGTCGACTTTTCCATTAATCTGGCCTTTATGTAGCGTAGAGCACAGATTGACGTGATCGACTATACTAAGCTGTGTACATTTAACAAAAAAATTGGACGATATTTTACATATCTTGGAACTTTTACATAATGCACATTTTCTCATACATAACATACGTTTATATATGATTTGTCAAAATGTAACAAATCGTTGGATTCCCCTCTAAACATCTGTGCAAAAATTATAAAAATCGGTAAAGTATCGGCTGAGTTATTTGCATTTCAATTCAACCATAATGCGAAATATGCTTACTGTTCGGTGCTGTTCACCTATTACCTGAAAATGAAAAACCACACAAAAATCGACTTTTTTAAGAGGCAATTTTTTTTTTCATAATGGCTATCGGTTTGTGAAGAAATTTAGAGCATACTTTTAGGCCGAACACAGTCATTGACCCTTTTTTACGAAAAATTTAAGGTTTTCTTCAAAGTTCAATAACTTTTGAAACAATTGAAGTATAGTTATAAAATTGGTATCATATGAAAGGTCTGAACTCTAGCTTTTTGGATATCTGCTTATAAATTTATCAACATGAAATGTCATACACGAAAAATTAATTTAAAATATATGTTTAAAAATTATAACCTTAAATAAGTTGTTGAAATAAAATGTGTCGATACTGTAATAAAGACAACATTTTGCCCTTTAATATGACACCCGATTTGTGTTAATAGAGCATTTTGTTAAAAAGTTACTAGCATTAGAAGACAATTATAAAAAAGGGGTCAAGGACTGTGGTTCGGCCTAAAAGTATGCTCTAAATTTCTTAACAAACCCGCAGCCATCATGAATGGAAAAACTGCCATTTTAAAAAGTCGATTTTTGTGTGATTTTTCATTTTTAGGTAATAGGCGAACAGCACCGAACAGTAAGTATATTTCGGAAGAAGGTTGAAATTAAATGCAAATAACTCAGTGAATACTTAACCGATTTTTAAAATTTTTGCACATATGTTTAGAGGGAAATCCAAAGATTTATTATATACCAACAATAAATATATAAACTGGGGTTATGTATGAGAAAATGTGCATTATGTGAAAGTTCCAAGATATGTAAAATATCGTCAAATTTTTTGGTTAAATGTACACAGAGTAGTATAGTCGATGTCGTCAGCCTGTGCTATAGCCTACATAAAGCACAGGTTAATGGAAAAGTCGACATAACTGACGTTTTTATATAAAATAGAATTGGATTCAAATAAAAATAACTCAGTGAATACTTAACCGATTTTTATAATTTTTGCACAGATGTTTAGAGGGAAGTCTAAAGTGTTATTACAAATTAACTATATATATATATACAAATGTTATGTACGAAAAAATTAGCATTGAAATCACGATAGAGCTCGCAGTATTTAAGATAAAGCCATGGAATTTTGCAAATCCATTTTTAATACTCTTAGGATGTTTTGTATTGAAAATGGAAAATATCGGTCCACGTTTCGGTATTGCCCCCATATAACGATGCCCCCAAATGTTCGGAATTTTAGAGATTTTTGGTACGTTTTTCTTTTAACGAATTGGCTGTCATTTGGTACTTTGAGTTCCCATTGGATAGCAAATCTCCGCACCAAAAGTTATCTTTTTAGGATCTTCTCAATATAACCGTACTTCCCATTTTACGGTATTTTGGCGAGTTTAGGTACGTTTTTCAATCAAATTGGCTACAATTTAGTATTTTGAATTCTCATTCAAATCACAAAACCAAAAATGATCGAAATTGGTCTGGGTTGCCTCCATATAACGGTACTCCCTCCTATTATTCGGTATTTTGGGAATATTTGACAGATTTTTTTAACCGAAACGGCTGTAGTTTGATACTTGAAGTTCTCTTTGGATAGCAAAACTCCACACCAAAAATTCAGTTTTCAGTCCACTTTTTGAGATAGACCCAATATAACTGTACCCCATTATTCGGTATTTTGAGGATTTTTGGCTCGATTTGGTTCTCATTGGGTATCATATCTTTCTACAAAAAATTTCCATGGTATAGTTTGAAAAGACCATGGCTTGACACAATTAAATTAAATTTTTGTAAATAATTTTATTCTGTTAAGTGTGTGTGTTTTTCCCTCGTTACATAACATTTAATGTGTATCCTTTAATTTTCATTTATCACTTTTTTCAAAAATAAAACAAAATCAGCATTTGTTTTTACTCTGTAAAAACAAGCACCACTTTTTTTGTAAAGGGGACAAGAAGGGTCATCAAATGATTTTAACATCCTCCCCTTTTGTTTTTTTTTTAGAGCTTTGTTAACCTTTCGTACACCTGTACCAAATCTATCTAAGAAAAAATAAATAAATAAAATCATTCCTAAACATTTTTTCTCATTTCGTTAGATATATATCAAAATAGGGGTTTCCTTTCGTTTTTTCTTGTTTTTAATTTGTGTAAATATTGATAGGAGGGGTTTTTTTAGAAGTCTATTTGATACTTCATACAACTGACTATATTATATATATTATAGTTTTATCTTCGTATTTACATTTTAAACTGAGTTTATAAGAAAACTAATCAAACAAATAACACACTACATTGTTAAACTGTTGACAGAGTATTGAAAATAAAATTCAAAAAAGTTATTGGGATTAAAGATTTCTTTCTTTCGTCACTTGAAGATCCAGTACTGTTTGATACTTATAATTATTATTTTACATTTGTTTTATGTGTTTGGTTTTATTTTTCATATTTCAATATTGCTATACGTGTTTGGTTTTGCAAAGAGTTTCCGGTACTTTTTTGTGTGTGTTTTTTTTATTTATTTTGTTTCATTTTTTGTTTTCATTTGAACGTCCAATCAGGTATCGGTTATTTCTCAACAAAAACCTATTTGTGTGTTTTTTTAATTTTTAATTCATTTATGTTATTTGTGTGAGGTTCAATTTGAAATTTATTTCTTTACTTCACATCATTTGTTTATAGAAAAAAGCTTAGTTTTGTTTGTTATTTGATAGCAGCCATTTTTGTTGTTCTTGTTACAGTTGTTGTCTATAAATGATTTTGAATTTTCACACAGTTTTGTAAATGTGAAATCATTCCTTCATTATTTCCGTAGATATTTCTTCTAAATTTTTTTCTTTATAACAAAAACTTGTTTTTTATTTTCTCTGTGGCAGTGTAACCATTTTGTTTTCAAAATTTGTATTTTCTATTTTATTTTCAATACATTTGTTTTGAAATATCGTATTTTTGTTAGCGTTAATCGATTATTTATTTTCAAGATATAAGAGGTTTAATAACGTTTTTTTTGCTATTTTTTGGATTTATAATTGATTTGTATTTTTTCGGTTTCATGTCTATTTTTTGTTTGTTTTCAAAATTAAAAAAAAAATACGGGTTTTCCCATATTTCTATTATATTCTAAAAGTTATTGTATTTATTTGTTAAAAAAAAATAAAATATTTTGAACAGAAAACACCCAAAAATTCAAATGCATTTTTATCAGTAATATTTCAGTTTGTTTTTTAGAGTTTTTATTTTTTTTAAATTGTCTTCAAAAAGTGTGCGTTGTTACATTCCATTAAAAAAATAATGTGGTTTTTGTTTTTTTTTTTGTCTTTGTAACTGCAATGGAATCTCGGCTGAAAAAAAATGGAAAAATAACAAAAATAAAACAAGAATAAATAAAATAATTTAAAAATATATTAATAAAATTAAATAAATACATTAAAAATAATTTAAAAATGTTGGCAGTGAAGTGAAAATGTTTGTTTGTATGTATGTATGAATTTTCAATCTAATTTTCAAAGAAAGCTAACTGCAACACTAATGGTTTCCATAATTCAAATAAATATTTTTGAGATGAAATAAGCACCTTTGGGCCATCTACAGATAGATATAGGTATTTATATTGTTCCAAAGACAATGGAGACCCTAAAATCCCTTTATATTCATAAATAAAACTTACAGGTCTTCTTGAAACAATTCAGAGCTATAAGGCCTCTGTAGGCATTAGGAAACCATAAGAATGAACTTCTAATTATTTTATAGAATATTACTATAGACCACAGTATGGACATTATAATAAGACCTTTTGGCCTCTTACATAAATGAGGACTTATACGTCTTCAATATATAATATACGACATTAAGGTCTATTATATTATATAGAAAACAAAAGTCATACAGAGCTTTGGATATGGATATGGATAATAGATGACCTTTAGAACTTATTTTCATAAAATATGATATACTACGGACAATGAAATACCAATTTTACAGACATAAATAAGACATTTCATAGTCATTATTAAAAAAATATAATTTTCAACCTTGGTAGTATTCAACACAGTAAACATATGATGTCAATACTATACAGGGCCCCATGATAAGGCCTATTAATTGGTAATGGTACCAATTGGATTTCTTACAAAAACTCTTCTCTGCATTGCTTTAATACAGCTGATAGAGAAAGACTGAATCATTAAAAATGTCACAAAGCTCAAATAATGATTTCTAAATAAATTTCTTTAAATCAATTTTCATTAAAAACAATTATAAAACTGCATCGAGAAAGGAAACACAAAGATGTTTGTATTGTTGTTTTCATAATTATTTTTGTTTGCTTTTTGTTGTATATTTACTTTCAGTTTTACTTTATGGATAAAAAGATAATATTCACAATGGAGGTTGAGGTGTTTTTTTTTTTTGTTTTCCTGGTACTAAATTAATAAAAAAAAACTATAATAATGACAATGAAACAATAAAATTTATCAAAACTAGAAAACGAAACTGTGATCAAATATAAAATATATTACTAATATTTAAAAAATTAAACATAATTTTTTTTAAAAAGAAAACATGATTATTGTTTATGAAACATATCAAAAGCTGCTTACATATTGTTGAAGAGGTTTCGGATGTTTTTGTTATTCTATGTCACAATAATAATAATGATGATATTTTATTTTTGGGATTTCTTCTTTTGTAATAATTACATTCTGTAAATATATATGTATGCATGCATGTATGTATACACATACATGTGTATGCTTAGAAAAAATAAAACAAGTTTGTTTCTTTTCCTTTTTAATTACTTAGCATACACCTCAATTATAGTTAAATGTGTTATATATATTTTTTTAATTTTTAACATTAAAAAACCAGAAATAAAAAACAATTGGGAATTTTTTTATGTATTTGTTTGACAAGTTTTTGTTTATTTTTTTTTTTAATTATTATTAAATATTTTACATAGGAGTTTTTCCATTTATTATTTATAATTATGGGTGTGTATGTGTGTGGGTATGTATTTTATTTTTCTTCTTCTTCTTAATATACAATGCAATTTTGTTGTTGTGTTTTTAAATTATGAGAAACGAAAATAAAGAGAAAATAAAACAGAAATCATAGTATCTTAAATTATTAATATTCGTATGTAAAATGTTTATTTTTTAGATTAAATTATTATATGTAGTTATGTGTTTTTTTTTTTATTTATTTATTTATTTATACAGTTTTCACGTAATTATATAAAAATAAAAACAATTGCACAATTTTGAAATCTGAAATAATTTATTTCACTTATATACGAGAAAAGCAAACTATTATTAATACACATATTAATAATAATTATCGTTATTAAAAATAAATGTGTAATTTAAAATTAGGAAATAATAAAAAAATAAAACAAAAGCTTATAAGGAAGAGAAATTGTTCTAAACAATTTTGTTAAAAAAATTATGTTTTAGAAAAAAAAATTTTGCTTAAAATAATTAATTTGTGTAAATTATTTATAAAAAAAATTGTTGTAAATTTTGTGTGATTTTTGTTTTTTGCTTTTTTTCATAAAAAATAAGGCCATGCTTGGAAATTTGTTTTTTAGAAAAAAGTAAATTGCCAAAAGAAATGCCAAAATTATTTTGGTCTTATGTGGTAATAGTTATTAATTATAATAGTAATATTAATAATAAAAAAACTAATAATTAAAATAAAACTATAAAAATAGATTTGCATACTTAAAACAAAAATTCAAAGTCTTTTTCCAAAAATATATAATTTTTTGCCCTTTCTGGTTGTTTTGTTTTGTTACAACTAAAGAAAGCAAAACATAATAACTTACTATCACTTGTTGTTGTTGTTTTTTCATCTAGTTTTGTTTTTCTTTTTTTCTTAGATTTCGTATAAAAAATTATATATTTATGTTTTATAATTGCCGCCAAATATGTATGAAGTTTTCATTGTTGCTGTTTGTGTTTTGTTGTTTTTGTCTATATATAAAATTTATAAAATTTTCAAGGGAGGGAATTCTAAAAAAATGAATATTTTTTGTTTCCATTTCATGGTTTCTTATTGTGTAACTCGTAGATCTAAAAAATGTGAGAAATCAGTCCAAGTTTGTTTTTGTTTTGTTTTTTTTTTTCGTATTTTTTGTTTATCCATAAAAATTAAAAAAAAAAATATTTTGTAATATTAATTATTTTTATATAATATTTATAACATTATTGTATTTTCATTTATATATTCATATATATAGTAGTAGTTGTTGTTGTGGTTGATGATTTTTTTAATAGTTATTTTTTGTTTTTGGATAAAATCTTAAGAAACGTAAATAAAAAAGAAAAGCCAAAGTTTGTAAGAATGTATTTTATGGTTAATATTTTTTGTTTCATGTTTTTTTTTTGTATGTAAGTATACATATAAATATATTTTTAATTTTTGTTTTTCGTTTTTTTTGTTTTCTTTCTTAATAATTTTTGTTTTCTTGTTTAGTTCACCGGGACTGTTTTGAGGGAAATAGTTTTTTTCAGGTCAGCAGGAAGTTGTAAACAATGTTTATTTCTTTCTCTCTTGCTCTTGTTTTTGTTTATATACTCTTGGTATATATTATATATGTGTTTTATTTTTTAAATATAAATTTGATTTTGTTGTTGTTGTGGTTTTGTTTTTACATCATACTTTGAAGTTATTAACATTATCGCTCAACCTAAATATACATACTATGGTATAAGTAAGTAATAATCATAATAATAAACACATTTTGTTTAACAATCTTTACTCTCAGTTTTGTTTTATGTATATGTTGTTGTGAGTGTGTGTGTTATTCTTTTGTTGGAACAGAAAAAAAGTTGTAACATCATTGCAAAAATAAAGTTTTCTTAAAACAAAAATTTGATGTAAAGTGGTTGGGTGGTATGCATCCCATGCATCATAAAAAATTTAAACAATATTGAAATCTTTTCATAAGGATTGACACCCTTGTGATGAAAAATAAATTCTCTAAAAAATTCATTCTAAAAAATATATAAAAATGATAACAATCTCCCACAGAAAAAAGGAGCCAAAACAATTCCCTAGTTAATATGTATGTACAATTTTTTTTTGATGAAAAACGAGATCTGAAAATCTAAAATGATATACTCAAATTTTAAAAAGTAAATACCTTTGTGAAAATATCTGTGGAAAAAAAGCTGCATGTTAATGTCATGATCTTATGGTAAATTTAAAAACCGTCTAGGAAAACCACCTCCACATTATCTTTAAACTACACTGACTAGATACAAATATTTAAAGATAATATCCAGTTGACATTTGACACATTCCTAACAACTTTACATCCCCCTTTTCCTGTTTTATAAAAAAGGTTAACAATGTAATTTTCTTCTTTAAGAAAACATTCGAAAAAACAATGATGTCTTATGAAAAAGAAAAATAAACTATGATGAGGCTAAAAGAAAACAAAACATAAAAATAAATCGTAACTGCCAATTTAACTGGATGTCTTCTATTGCAAGTCATGATCGGCAAATGCAATAACTGCTTCGGTTACACCCACTTCGCCTTCGCCAATGTTATCTTCAACATCATCGTCGTCATCAAGATCATCTTCCTCCTCACCATTACCACCATTACCACCATCATCAACATCGTCGTCGTCATGGTTAATTAACAGCTATTGCTATGCACTATCGGACTGCATTGACAGACTCATATCCTGACCATAATCACCGCCATTTGGTGTGGAAGCTGCTGTGGCAGGTGGTGATGTCGATGAGGTGGCCAGCGCCGTATTGATGGACGTTGAGGTGGTAGCTTGTTGTATCGCTGTCACCAGACCTGATGTGTGTGCCAACGATTCTTGTGCCGCCTTTTCGGCCTGGGCCGCCTGCAGGTGCGACTGCACCGAGGGTGGAATGGGATGAACGTCCCAAATCTCTTCGAGGAATTTTGGCAGTTTGCGATTCTTCAGCTTCAGGGAGAAACACATTTCTGCATTCTGATTACCCAGTGTCCGCAGTTCGGTTAATATGGATAGCAGTTTAGCAAAGAATACGAGACTCATGGGATCGCCGCAATGGCGATTAAGTATGTAAATGCGGAGTGTATCGATGTAGTAACTTTGTATCGCTTCGACTAGTTCGGCTTCTTCGAGACCCGGCCGATCGGAAAAGATCACAATGGCAGTGAGTAAAGCATATTCGACATTGTCCACCTTCATGGCGTACATTTGTCGACAGAAATGCAGCAAGTCCTCAATATTATCAGCCATGCCAGCCATTTTGTACGAGTCACGGGTATACGATCGATTATTGGCAAAGAATATCGAATCGGAACTGTGATCGTAACGACGAGCCATTCTTAACATCATAACTTCCGATGAGCAGGCCTGCAAAAAAGAATATATGAAATTATTTATTATTATAAAGAAGGCACAGAAATATTTTCCTGATTAATTACCGACCTTTAACAGAGTAATTTGATCTTCTTGTGGTATTTTGGTAAACGCTGGCAAACCCTTGGCAAATTCCACAATTAATTGTACTGTGAGTATAGTGATTTCAGTTATATGACGAAAACTCACATCCGTTTGACTTTCATTTTCATCAGGTGAACTCTGAAAAAGATAATGAATACCAAAAACACAATGTTTAATAAAGTGTTCCAAATTGGAATCGCAAATAAAGCATCCTTATTTTACTTGTATAGTTTGGCATGAGTAAATTAAAAAAGAGATATATTCAGATAAAAATATGTAATAAATATTATTTTAAATATGCGTTTCAAAAAATGTCTGGTTTGAGTTGCTCTAATATTTTATTATTGAATAATTAGTGGGATATATTCATATTCTAGCCAACGGCAATAAAATGTGTTATTTGGCCGTTTTTACATTGTTTACTTTTAACTAACTGCTGTCTATCACGGCCTACCTCAACTATAATGCGTTCCGGTTAAAATTATTTACTAATGACATATTCTAACGTAAATAAATACTAACGTTGATTTAGTAAACGTTTTTTTCTCTTCTAATTTAAGGGTCAATTCGAGGGTTACTAAATACAAATTTCAAATATTTCCCTTACTCGCTTTTATTGTAACTACGAAAAAAATAAATGTTCTGAATTTAGGACCGGTTTCAATGTTAGTAAAATTTAGTTTTTAAACTATTAAAACTTCCACACATAAACTATTTAAACTAAAAAAAGTAACATCAACTGTCAACTTACCATTATACGTTTGAGATCTTCCTCGGATGGCTGTTCATAGCCATCTTGATACCATATTAATTTATATATAACTGCCAATTGATTGTACGTTAGAGGAGGTATATTTCGAGCCTGACATTTTGCCAAAATGTCTTCAGGTAACAGCTAAAATAACAACAAAAAATACAAATTAGTAAAAATACAAAATTACTAACTTAAAAAAATAAACAAAATAAACATCTGACATGCCATTAACAACTTACCGGACATGTGGGATGTGTTGGCGGTTCACAGGTCATCAAATCGAGTATCTCCTTTTTGATAACATCTGTGGCACCAATACTCGTCTGCAGTTTATCCTTTTCTTTTTGCGCTTTCTTTTCGCGCCGTTTCATTGCACACTGGTTTTCGGGTACTACACACTCCGGTCGCATACCAACGGCCAGACATTTTTTCAGACGGCACTCCTGGCATTTACGTCGCATGTACATGTCCATTTCACAGGCATGACCGAATTTACAGCAATAGACTGCATTTTTGGTAACACTCCGCCGGAAGAAACCCTTACAACCCTCACACGTGAGAGCATTGTAGTGATAACCGGATGCCCTATCGCCACACACCAGGCACAGTTCTTCTTGTAGGCGGGGCGCGGGACCTTTTTTGATTTTCTTAACATCACTGGCATCGCTGGTGGAGAAGCCATTGAGACTACTTGAAGGTGATAGATCATCTCGTCCTGTAAATGAAATAAGACAAGAAAATAAAAAATATAAGTAAAAATAGTTTACAATAAAATATTTTAAAAATAAAGCTTCACTGAAATCTCAAATCTCTTGGTGTTAATTTAAATATTTGAAGGTTTTATTCGCATTCCAAATACGATTAGAATTACAAATTGATCTTTTATGTATATGACCAACAAAATATGCATTACAGGGGGAAATTGTGTGCTGGTCTGTTTTTAGCCGGCTCTCTCTCACTTTGAAATCTGTTTCATGACGTCAATAGTATTTTTTTTTGTTATAACAACTGGTTATTTTTAAAACTACACACACTGAAATCAAATATTTTGTTGCGTATCAAATAGACATACAACAATTCATGTACATGACATTTAGGAATAATAATTTACATTAATTGATCAACGAGAATAACCAAGCGAAAACAAATAAATAAGATCATACACTAGTTTGACAATCAGCTGATGGTGAAATATATCTCAATAATTTGTTTAATTTTATTATCAGTTGAATTGTGATCCCAGAGGTTTAAGGTGTGACCCTCCAACTATACGAAATTTGTAAGAGGTGTAAACACGCCATATATCCTCAGAAAAGTTACAGTTATTTCATAATGGCGAAATTTTTTTTTAGCAATAAAAGCCAATTTAAAAAATATGTAAAATAGAGGTCGAAATGTAATATCGGCCGATTTTACACAGTTGATTGCTGTTCATGGCCTAGCTTTACTAAAAGGCGTTCCAAAAAGTACTGATTTTAGTAAATCCAATGAGTTTATATTGTCACTTCCATTGCTGATATGTCAAATAAATCCTCAAAGCCTACAAAAAGTTCTAATGTACAAATCATTTTAAGTAAATTCAATTTCTAACAATTGAATTGGCACAAAATAAGAAACATTTGAAACAAAGAGAAAGGATGTGTTTATTTTATTAAAATACACCATAAACCAGCTATGCTTATCCATTCCCTATATCTTCAATTGTATTATAATTTTTGGTGAATATCCATATAAATCTAATTTGAAACTGTAGTTGTTCATGCATTTTATGTAAAAGTATTTAAATATGTAAAAGTATTTAAATATGTAAAAGTATTTAAAATTATAACAGTCAATATGCATAGATATGTATCTATATGCATATAAAATGATATACAAATATTACATTCTATACCCATTTTGTAGACAATTTGTGTCCAGAGGAACATGATTATGGTGTTTTTCAAGCACAGCGAACAAATAGTATACCAGGGAATACAAAAAATGACTATGTTGAAGATGTTTACATACATAAATGTGTACAAACGTGCATACATATAGTTGCTGCGACAGCTTTTGCCAAAGATATATAGAGTATATGCACTTGAACTGCATTCACACATATGTACACACATGTAAACTTGTACATTGAATGTAATTATCTACAAGATATCGTCTATTTATTCCCCGGTACAAATTGTACAATTGTTGTAAAGCAAACCTCCATCATCGTGCTGCTTTATTTGTAACATAGCCCAGCTAGCTGAGCTACAGCCATATAAATTCACTTGTATGTCTGTATGTCAGATATGCACATGTGGAGAGTGTTTTGTCATCATTATCATCATCGTCGTTGTCGTCGTCGTCATTATCATCATCAACAACATCGGTGGTTGCACTTGAAGGCAAACTACTCTCGTGCAAATGTCAGCCAAAAGCCAGCCAGCCATCCATCCAGTCTTTAACTATTTTGGATTATATCTATGGGTATATAATACTAGATACATATATACATACAGTCCCCTATACTATTACATATAGAGTATGTGTGCTTGTGTGTCATGTTGTTATTGCTCTCTAGCACCAAAATGCCCTTCACCTCTGTTGTGTCGTGGTATTTCTTTTCATTTTGCTTTTTTGCATTTTCCTTTTCTCCTCTGCACTTTTTCTGGTGTGCAATTTTTCCATTTGGTTTTTTATGTTTACATTTGTATGTGTGTAGCCGAATAATGCACGTGCATGACGTGCTGGGTGCTATGAAAAGTTTATTGACGTATATTTTTTCTGTTTGTGTGTGTGTGTGTGCCACAACGACCGAAAGACCAACAAACCCACCAAACGAATTGCAGCAGCGTCAGTGGCAACAACAGCAACCACCACCAGTAGCAGCAACAGCAACAACAGCTTTGGAAAATAGGCTCATTTTTGCTGCTCCAGGCCTTTGCTTACATGCTCTCTTCTGCCTCCGCTCTACTTCCCAAGCCACACCAAGAAAAGTTCAGTGGGCAAAAAAAAAAGTAGAAACAAAAAACATGAGAAACGTGTACATCAGCAGCAGAAGAAAAAGTGGGAAAACTTGGCTCAAGCACGTTTTTATTTTGCTATGTGGCTGGCTTTGTGCAGAGATGGCAAGCAGGCAGTCAGGCAGCATGGGATATATGGCCATTATGCCACTTTCCATTCCACGGCTTACAAGGCAGAAGAAAATGAAAAACCCCATCCATCTATCCAACAAACAAAATGAAATGAAAAATAAGAAAACTGCAACAACCACCATGGATGGATGGCAAAAATGGAAAGGAAAATCCAATGAGAAAGAAGCCAGGCCAGCCAGAGCAACATCAACCAACCATCCAGCCAGCCAGCAACTGCAATTTGTGGCAGCACGTCGTTGTACAGCAACAATTTTGCCATGTTGCATTATTTCACATTTTTATGATAATGTGGTGGGTTAATGGAGCGCCAAATGGCATACCCACCCCACTCCCGAGGCTTAAACTGCCACCCAGTTTTTTCGTTTTCTTCTTCTTGTGGGAAAGGCAATGGAAATCCACAAGAAAAAAAAATAAGCTTAGCAAAATTGATCTTATTTCTTTCTACCAAGCCAAGACTGGCTACCTACATCATCTGCATATTAAATTGCATGCCACTAATGTATGTATGCAGCACGCCAGATTATTATGTTTGGATGTCGACCACATGTTTAGAGATTTTCCTCACTTTAACTTCACACTCTATGGTTTTTTTTGGTTGCGGCTTCAGATTTTCCTTTTTCTTCTGCGGCTGGTTGCATGCACGAGTGTGAGAAGATTGTGATGTTTTGCGGTGGCAAGCGGGCATTCATGTGTGCAATATAATACCATCATCATCTGCAGCAGCAGTACCAGCAACAACACAACAACTTTCTCTTTGCAACACAAACCGATATTGTTATGGCAGCACAAAAAAACTGCAACAACAACAAAGCTAATAACTGCAATTGCAACATTCACCAGGCAAGATTTCAAGTTTCTGCATGTTTTGGTTTTATTGTTGTTGTTGTTGTGGCATGCTGTGAAACCAGTACCAAGAAATATAATTAACATTGAAAGAAATACAATGATCACCAACGTCATCACCTTCACTATTAATAAAATAACAAAAACCAAAAATTGGTTGATGACAGTAATCACTTGCTATTGGTGCAAATAATAATAATTAATTTATTTTACAAATTGCATATTTTCAAATGATAGTTGATGTGTTTACACTATTAACATAGTGTAAACACGCCCCAAACCTTGATCATGTGAGTTATGTTTGCAAATGTCACAGAGAGAGTAACTGTTGCGCAAACGTCTGTCTCGCAGAGTAACTAATGGTATAGTGTAAATACGCCCCAGCCAGATTATGTGATTTATAGTTTGCAAATATCACAGAGAGTAACTGTTGTGTTGCCGTGATGACATTTTATTCTCAATATGCAGGCTCCTTCAATTTAACCCTGTGACAAGTGGCAAAAATGGCTATTTGTAACTATTTTCGTTTTTATTTAATAAAATAGTAAATAAGTCGAATCTTTACTTATGCCATTTTGCTTTTTGTGCAAGACAATGCAAGTTTACAGCAAAACACACACAATAAGCCTATAAAGATTTTCACTTGGGTTTCACATATACAGCAGTACTTGGTGGAGTGGTTGTTGCCTGCCAGCTTTTTTGTTGGCTTGTTATATTTATAACTACTGATCTCATGCCCCCTTAAGTTTGTAACAAAGTGAATACAACATAAATAAACACACATATCTAGTTTTTGTTGTTTTGTGTGTATGTATGTAAGAGTAGCATGAAAATGCATTCATTATATCTGGAGTAGATAGAGGGTAAATATACAAGTTGTCCTAGGCTATTATCTTTTTTAGTTGTTGTTGCTGTATTTGGTGTATGGAGAAGAGGCTGGTTTGAGTGGTTGCTTGCTGACTTGCCGGTCTTCCAGCCAGTTTAGCAGTCAGCCAGCCTGCCATCCAACCAGCCTGCATAATTTTACAATGTTACCTATTTTGTTGTTAGATTTTTCTTTCGTGAGTTTGTGTGTGTATTTTTAATGAATGTCAAATCAAGTCAATAACAAGGTTTTTTTTTAAGAGAAACTTGTACAATGTTGATAGTACATGAGGGGCAAACATTATGTATACATATATAGGCTGTAACATATACCCCCATGTGCACTATTTTATATGCATATCATTACATATATTTAGATGAAAAAAATAAAAAAGTCAAAAGTTGTTTAGTGCTATGCTTTTTCTAGAGAATTTATATATGTACGTGTATATGTATTGCATGGTTTACATTTTATTTTTTTAGATCCTTTGCCAATATACTAACATATAATAGAGTCCTTAGTTGAAATGAAAATATAGATATGTGGCCAGGTGACTTGAAATAATTTTATTTTTAATTAAAAATTCATTGGAGTTCAACAGGGTTACAGAATTTTCAAAACATTGTACGTATATCTAGTTGAAAATTAAGTCTAAAAATATAATAACTAATACGTGCTATGTTCCCTATAAGTATATATACATTTGAATCATACATATTTCTTCGTTTATTAACTTGAAAATATTAGGCAATTTTTATACTTTTTAAAGTATTAATCTATGTACAAATAATAAATTTGATGTGTGGCCACATAGCTTAAAATCATTAACAGCTGATTGAATCTAGAAAATAACATATTGTTTGTTATTTTTGT